GAGAGAGAGAGAGTTTTGTATTGTGTGTAATTCAAAATTTTGCCGGAACAGAGTTAATGAGGAACAAAAGTACGTCATTATGGATGGAGTCAAACGTGGTGCTTGCACCCAGCCATGAATGTGTAGAGGATGATATGGAGTTTGCTTCTCGCCATGAATGTCTAGACGATGCTGAATGGATTGGCAAATATGGAAAATCTGTTTGAACATGTGGTCAAGATTCCAGGGGCAAGGAGAGAACTCAGAAACCCAGGTGATTCCATTTTGTGAATCTAATACAAATAAGGAGAGCCCCATGATCTCTTGAATGCTTGGGAGACCAGCCAACATAGTTGGGTCACCATGTGCGCAACAATTGTTATCCCTGATAGGCTAGAATAGGTAAGCAAGGTCCACCCCTAATGTTCCCTAAATATGTCAACATACCCAGTAGGTCCAGGGTTCCTGACAAAGCTGACTTTGAATTTTAGATTGATGACTCCCTCAAGCGGCGATGTCCATTGAGATCATCTCAATATAGTGAGTGGTGAGGACCAAATATGTACTTCCACTGGGTACTGAGGTTGGCTGATGAGAAAGTCTTGAGTTCCTTGCACGCTTGCGCCCAATAGATGATCATTGCCATGACGTGGCCTTTGAGGGACCACATGTTAGCTTTGGTGTAATTGAATATGCGCTTCCAGTGTTCGAGCCATATAGTCCAAACAGTTACAAAATGGAAAGGCGCCAGAGTAATACTAAAGCTGGACAGGGAGGAGAACGGACTGAACCAAGTGTTTGACACTCGCCCAAGGGAGCTCAAATGGATAAGAACGGAGGAGCAAATCTGGTAAGCTACCTTACAGTGGGCGAACTAGTGGCTGATCGATTCTTCTTCTCAGCACATGATGCAACTAACCGGTAAGGAGAAACCCCTTCTTTTGCACTGAGTCTAGTGTGAGAGCGTTGTTAGAGAGTACCAACCAGTTAAGAGCCTTTCCTTTATGAGGTACATGTGTAAACCATGTCCTGCTAGTCATGAGTGGATGAGAGCTTGATGGGGTGAGGTGAATTGTAAAAAGATGATACCATAAAGGTACCAGTGGGAGAGACCACCAGATTGTCTTTCCATTCTTCCTCCTAAGTCAAGAGACAAAGTGGGATGTGAGGGCATCCAGCATACAGGCCAAGCTTGACATTTCATCATCATTCAGGTTTCGTTGAAATACTGGTGACCAGACTAGCTGACCACTTCAGACCCCATAGTTTTGAGAGATTAAACAATCTTGATTAGAGGCTATTGCAAAGAGATTCAGAAATGTTTGTCGAAGGGTCTGTCAACTAATCAAAGGTCTTTCCCAAAACCAAATCATGTCGGCACTTTGGCAGGGAATCCAATATGACTTGAGAACTCAGTGTGAATGCTGCTGATCGCTTCCAAGGCATCCTTCAAATGAGCATGGACATGATTTTTCTGCAGCCGACAAGAGTCGCTGGTCCTAAGGCCGTATCTATGTAGGGTGACCTGCTGCCAAAGATGCTTGTGATTACAGCTGAACAGCCACCACCACCTACCTAACAAGGCTGCATTACAATCTTTCAACTTTTTGATATCCAAACCTCCACTGTGTTATGGTTTATATACTGTTCCCAACCCATCCAGGAGGAATTTAGGTGTAGCCAGTTCCAAACTACAAGAAGTCATGCATGAGGCGCTCCACGTTCCTAACAATCGACACAGACATTCCGGAATATGGACATGTGAAAGATACCGATCTTCCCAATGATGCCAATCTAACATTATATCTTTCCACAATGGGTTTCAATGTTATTTCCAGGGCATGCCTAGACATAACAGAAGCCTCAATAAGCGTTTTGTAGAGTATCAGTGCTGCACCTCATTCCCTTCGTGAGACAGCTGTGTTTGTAATTAGATATTCTCAATTCCAGCCTCGGCATATTCTCTGCAATGAATAGTCTTTTGCAGGAGATGACTCATGCAACGTTTGTGGGGCTCATCCATCTTTGATTTCGTGGATACAGTTGTTTTGTCGCCTACTGTCCTACAACTTCTGTTCAAAGAAAGAATGCCATGTTCCAGTCACCTTATTTGAGCCATTTGATTTTTGGAGTGTTGGTAAAAAGATTTTTTGCTTTAGGATATTCTGGAGTGTTGGTAAAAAGATATTTTGCTTCAGATCTTTGGTTTCCTCAATAGCATCTAGTTCTGTGATTTATGTCAAAAGGACCTTCTCTAGGAGGTATCCAGATTGTTCACAGTTGTAAATTTTCAACTTTTATTATCGTTCTTAACTGTCACTAGCTGACCATTTGATATTTTCTGAACTGCCTTATATTGTTCATAACTCTCAAAAGCCAAAATTGTGTACAGTTAAATCTCCATCCAGGAGAAAAGCATGAGATTTGTATTAAAATTTTAATTAAATAATGTAACAAACACAGCCTAACATTCATAACTACACATATGCCAGTGCGAAGATGACATAGTTTTGATTGATGAGACGAAAGTGGTGTCAATGCAAAGTTAGAACTTAGAAGGATGTTCTAGAATCTAAAGGTTTTAAAATTAGCCGGACGAAAAATACCAATGAAGCTGAAGGGGAAGTTCTATAGGATAGCTATGAAACCTTTTACTTTATAGGACGGAATGTTGGAAGGTCAAGAAACAACATACCCATAGGATGAGTGTAGCAGAAATGAGAATGTTAAGATGGATGAGTGACAGGACAAGAAATGATAGAATTTAAAATGAATATATTTGAGGGAACTTAGGGGTGAATCCAATAGGTGATAAGATGAGGGAAAGTAGACTTTGGTGGGTTGGCCATGTGCAATGCAAACCCCATATAGCGCCAGTTAAGTATGATTTAGTTTAAGTAGAAGGCTCTAAAAGGGCAAGGGGAAGACCCAAAAGGACATTGAATGGAAGTAGTGAGAAAATATATGACGACTTATAGGCTTACTAAGGTCATGATACCTGTTAGAGCAAAATGGCCGAACAAGATTCATATAGCCGTCCCCAAATAGTTGGGATAAGGCTCAGATGATGATGATGATGACGACACATGCCAACGTGAATGAAATCATAAGATCGTAATAAAATAAAATACTGAAGTAGAATCCAAAGACAAAATACCTTGAAGTTCGTCAAATCAGGAATGACGTACTGTGGCAATTTTTCATCCATCACAACATATCCTCCTGCATCAAAATGTTCCATTTTATAGTCGATAGAAGATGGATCCTATTCAAGTGCAATTGATGTATTAATTCCATAGGCATCAATTCTTATGTAGTCAAATGAAAATACACATAGGACACATTATTGATGTCCAATGAAAATAACAACTCAAACTAAATTTATTACGTTGGGAATCAGTGACCACCGACCAAATCTATCACCAGAATTTAAATTGCATTGGATCACGCAAATAAAGTTTGTTGGACCAAGAAATCGGTATTCTAGAAGGATCTCCCTTATTTGTCAGGTTATATAATACATCCTTCAACCTCTTGATCCTAATTGGAACCATCCTTAAGGTATGGCCATTATACAAACTTGAACTTCGACCTTTTTTTTTATAGAAAATATTTGACAAAGAATTTGAGTGTAAAATTTTGTATAAGCACAAATGCGTTGTTGGTCAAGAAGATGACAAGGAATCACATGGAAGAGATGGCGCTATCTACATTTGAACTTCATTATTCAGGACCACATTTCTTTTCAAATACTTGTTATCAACAACACTAGGCTTTTTTCCTTTACTACGATAAATCTTCTTTATAGTGATATGCCTTCATGTCTCCAAAAAGGAAATGGATTAAAGGATGTTATCTAAATTCCCAAAAATTATAACAAAGAAACTATTTTTTTACCAAGAAAACAAAAGAACATGCTACACCACATAACTTATTTGTATTGCTAGAAAGACCAGAAAGAAAGAAGAGGCTACTTGCCAGCCTCAATATTCGTTTTTGAAGATAACCACCCAATTCATTAAAAAAAGGTGCGGGGCAAATAAACATAAAGAATACAAGGCCTCTAAAAAAGGAATATCCTCCATATCCCACATTTAATCCTTATATTTACCATTCTCAAATTGATGATTCTATAAGCCACTCAACTAGTTCCTAAAAATCTAAAAGTGATTTCCATACCTAACAGTAAAAAAAGAAAATTCCACCTTAACATCTATTATTTTGAGGGTCTCAAGGATTTCATCAACATTGTTAACTGGCCTTCCATGGGATGTCAACTTGTTGAGTACTCCACACTTCACAACATTCATAAAATTTCCGAGAATTTCCGATTGCCAACTTTTTTCTTGAAGGAGCAACCATGTATCACTAAACCATAACAATGACTATTTTGGCAATAATATTTGTATAAATTCACCTGATAATTCACTCCATCAACTCAATGCTCAATGGAATTTGCCCAATGTCAATCAACACGTCCACCATATATGAATAGGAAATGATTCCCTTGATGTTAATCATCGTCAAAACTCCTCCAATAATTGATGGCTCCAGGTTGGTCCAACCTTAAAGTTTGTATTTGGTAATCTGCTTTCTATAAATAAAAAATATTTACAAGACTCTTTAAGAAAGTAACATAAAGTATGCTCCAAGTCTTTGACTTCCTTGACAACAACTATATCAACCTCCATTGCTAGGCTCCAACCTCCATTATCTTTCAGCGCTAAGTATCTCAATGAGGCCATCCCGGTCCAACACTCTGCCACCTCCCATATATCCATCCCTCCAAATGATATTGTCCTTGGCCCTCTATTCATGAATAGGATGAACATGCAGCCTCTTACCCTCCTGATGACCATTCCAACCTCCCAACTTTGAATTTTTCTTCAACATGTTCTCCACATGTCCTTAGATTCCATAGTACTTATTAAATAGTCCTGAACATCTATTCGTGTACCCATGACGTAGTAGCAATGTATATGAATCACCTTCCTCACTCCTCCAACAGAAGAATTCTGTTTGGTTCATTGTATACCCCTTCTCACTATCTCGAACTCTACGAGGATTTGGCTCTTCATGACCAATATAAAGCCCTCCTTACAGGATACCTAGGCACACAATGTTTGAAGACAATAGCATAACATAGCATCTTGTATACTGCCCAAAAGGTATTTTAACTGACCAGTATGTTTGAAGACAATAGCATAACATAGCATATTGTATACTGCCCAAAAGGGCTTTTAGCTAACCATCTTGAAGTTACTTCTTAAGAATCCAATACAACTTAAAGCCTTCCCATACTCAGGAGACTAACCCCCAAAATTTTATTGTTGTCATGGAATCAATAAATCAATTTGACCATTATAGACTCAATCCAGATAATTATAAACAGAATAAAGAAGAGGATCTTTAGTTTCTTACTTCTCAAAAGAATAAGTAACTTTACTATAGTTTTCTTAATAGAAGTTCTAGATGGATCATATATACTAAGTTGATCATTGCACTTCTTCTTTTCAATCCCAAAGAGATTAATCAATCTTTACAATGCATATTGACTACTTGAGTTTCTTAGGAAATGGCATCTCTTCTTTCAACGAAAATCTTATTTTAATGATGATAATTCCAGATTCTTTAGGCTTTCTATTAAACAATTTACTTCAAACTTATTTCTGTTTGGATGGTTGATTAGCACATGCAGTGAAGATGACCAAACTTTCAATTTATCCAGGTTTGATTATCTTGCCATGATTGAGGTGGATGTCGGCGAACTCTCTCCTTTCCAAATCCCTAAATTTCCCTTTAAAGTAATTGCCATAGTTTTTCAAGAGCCCAATAACTCCTACCACCTCGAAAAACCCACTTTGGGCAAAATTTCCTCACTCCCAAATGCGGGAGAAATATATAAAATAACCAATAATCAAGCTACCAAAAAAAAAAGAAGAAGATTTTGGTAGAAACTATTGGTCAATAAAGATCATAAATAACTACAGGTTCATACATAAATAAAGTTATTAGATCATAAATAACTACAGGTTCAGAGAAATTCACATTTAACTATTCAATAAAGAACATAAATAACTACAGGTTCAGAGAAATTCACATTTAAGTATTCAATAAAGATCATAAATAACTACAGGTTCAGAGAAATTCACATTTAACTATTCAATGTATAGATAAAAATTAGAATTGTACAAAGAACAAACTCATAAATAAAATTGACTGTAATCATACTGAGAAAGAAAACCGAACCTTTGCGAGTGTGAAAACCAGTGGGCTTGACATTTTTTCCCTTGTAATAATCCCTTGGACTTCTTTTAGAAGTGAGAATGTCAAGAGCCGAACTTCGCTTTCTTCGCATAGATCTGCCTATCCCCAATATCAATCCCAGCGCCATTCTCTCTCAACTTGTAAAATAGCAGATTGTTCTATCAGCTCCTATGCAAAACGAAAATTATTACAGGAATAATTCAAAAGGCTTAACAATAAGAAGAAGGGAATACAAAAAGGAGACGAAGCAAACGCAAAGTTGTCAAGTTAAATGGAAGAACTAGACACTAAACAAAACAATAATCCTACTGCAAAATCGCACCAAAAAACCCAAAGTAAAAACCATATAGAGAGGGATAGAGAAGAGAGAGAGGGTGGGGGGCACCTACTGTGTGAGGAGAGAGAAGAGATTACAAGTTTTGGGATGAAGGGGCTACAGGTTTTGGGATGATCTGGTGGTGTTTGATAACTTTTACTGCGTCTCCCTGAGAATCACCCCTGCGGTTGACTTTCCTAGATTTTCGGATGCAGGTGAAAATTGACCCCAGCCGTCAACTTTCTTAGATTCTAGGATGCATGGCATGGTGAAAGCTGAAACCCTATTTGATAAACTGTGGTGCTGGGAATTTCACCTGTTTGGCAATGAGAAAGCTCGAAACTGCCTGCGATTCCGTTCATTATGTATTTTACTGCTATGATGTGTGAAATGTAGTTCTTTAAAAATATTTTATAATTAAATAAGGTTCCTTCCATTCGTCCAATATACATGTAAATAGATTCAAGGAATATCAATATTTGCATAAATAGAACTAAATTGATTTTCTTAATATCAGAATTTCACTCAATGCATGGGCAACCTTCAAGAGAAACATATGCCATTTATTTAAGAAATAGATATTTAAAAGTTTCAAAGCTAACCATTCCGCGGGCAAACAGCTCCTACGAAGACAGCAGAGCAAAGTGGAACTACCAAAGATCATGTGAATCAAAGAGCAAACAAATTAAAGAAGATGCCGTGAGCTATATAGCTTATATAATTGTTTTGTTATTCTTTAATTTATGTCATGATTAATCACATATATTTACTTGCCAAAAAGAGAATTTATATATACTTTTTTTTCACAATACATATATTTACTTGCCAATGACTCATTCAAGCAATGACTCAGGAAAGATTTTTAATTGAAAAATCCAGAGCATCGTATTTGTGACTCTAGAGAAGTTAATAAGGGTTTAGACAGGAAATAAAGCTTCATGTAAAACAACCCCTTGAACCATTGCACATCAGAAACTAAGAAATGTCAACCAGATGACAACAATAGGTGTGTAAACTACTAACAAAGTTCATACTCATCAACAAGTGAACCAACACTTCAAATAAATAGGAATTTCAGAATGATGAATTAAAAAAAGTTCAGGTTGTATGTTTTCAACTTTTGGTTTGTACTTACATTTGCATCAAATTCTAGTCCAAGACTAAAGTAATCCAAGCCTGCATGTTAGCAATCTTGGACACATTAGTCTCAGTTTTTCCACATCAAAAGATATAAGCTGTTCACTAGGATCATATATATTCCCCACAGCATCTAATGACAACTGCAGAGGAATCCCAATTTATTAGGACAAGTATCAATATATTGTTTAAAACTTTAAATGTCAAAAGAATAATTCGAAGAACAAATAAACCAAACAAAAATACTAGATTTTCTATCACAATTGTTCTCTCAACAATGTCGATGATCAAGGGAGAGGGCATGATACAAAAACACATATTTTATGCAGCAGTTAAACTAGTCCTAGAAGCAAAATAGGGATACATTAGTCTCAGTTTTTCCACATCAAAAGATATAAGCTCTTCACTGAGAACATATACATTCCCGGCAGCATCTACATGAAAAGTGCAGAGGAATCCCAATATATTAGGACAAGTATCAATATATTGTTTAAAACTTTAAATGTCAAAAGAATAATTCGAAGAACAAATAAACCAACAAAAATACTAGATTTTCTATCACAATTGTTCTCTCGATGATCAAGGGAGAGGGCATGATACAAAAACACATCCTTTTATGTAGCAGTGTAAACCAGTCCTAAAAGCAAAATACCTATAATAACACACAAGACTTGATTATCACCTCCCAAAAATAGCCAAAATTTCTTTCCCCCTCAAGCAGATCATCCTCACCCCATTAATCATACATTTGAAGGAAGCAGATAAAGTTAGAGGAAGCCACGGTTAGACGAGACTACGAGGACATCTACTAGTTTCGTGAGATGGGTTTTCATAGAGAAATGATACTGTAACTAGGGCTAAATGTAGAAGATCTAAGGGTTTTAGCCAATGGAGAAACCAGAAAATAATCACTACTAAGAGTATATAGAATAGCAGCAAAAAAAAAATTTAACTCGCTGATTTGGGGCTTCTCTGTATGTCAAAAAAAATAAATAAAAAAATTAACTCATTGATTTTGGGTTTATCAGTGAATTATTTGGGGTTTATCAGCAAAAAATAGCAGTAAAACAAACTTTTGAAGCATTGATTTAGAGTTTCTCATAATAATAATAACAAACAATTAAAAAAAATAACATCTCACTAATTCGTGGCTTCAATCTCTTCGTGATAATAGCGATGGAGCAAGGGCTGCTGTGGCATCTTTCTCTTCTTCGACCTCTGTTCTTCAACCTAGGGCTTTTGATAGGCTTCACGGGCTTTCTCCTCTTCGAGGGAAGAACCGGTTCCCACTTCGTCTCAGCGTCATCAAACGCCTTCACCCTACCTCCTATTCACCGCGTTGGGGTTTCCATTCTCATTACTAACACCACCGCCTTTAAAAAGTTAACTCTCAAGTCTCAACAGACACTCTACTCAATGCTAAGGCGCATGTTGTAAATCTTTGTCTTGCGGCTTTCAAATTTATTTTTATTTTTAACTTAAAATTTTAAGCTTAAAAACTAGTGTAGCTCAAATAAATCTACGAACACTTGTATCTTGAAAATTGACTGTCCGAAAAACACATTATAAGATACACTATTTTTAATACTTGAATTTTTTTTTTTCTCATTTTTGTATGTCTTGAAGTTAAGATGATCGATTTTAGGATTTTTGAGCATTGAAACAACACCTCTTCTTATAAATGTTTGAGATGTGCTTTAATTTGATGGTTTAGAGCCTCGTCCCTATGTAAACTTCTTCCATTAAAAACTGTCTCATTTCTACGTAAGAGTAAGAGCGTGCATATCATTCATACCGTGCATATCATTCATACTATGCATTTATTCCCTCATCCAAATATTTGCTTTTGACAATTTCTATGATCTCAGTATTTACTCCCTCGGGCAAATACTTGCTTGGGAGAATTTTTTTGGTCTCAAATTCTAGGGAGCATCTACTAATAAAATTAATTAGTAGATGATTACCTCGAAAGAAAAAGTTTTGGATACAAAATTCTATAACACTTCGATCTCAACTTTCAACTTCCAAAAACAAAACAATCTACGTTCAATCTTTAGGTATTATTTTATTTTGCTTCTACTTCAGCTGTTGGACCGATTCTACCAACAATACTCATAAAACAGCTGAACCGATTCTACCAACAATAAAAGATTGAGTTGTTCATCTCTTTATGAAATTTCTCATTCTTATAAAATACCTACTATTCAGCGCTTCTAGTTTTGAGTTGAGAAGTTTATTTTTTTTTCAAATGGCTTGTTCAAAACTTCAAGATTAGAACTAGCTCATTCATAAAGAATCTATTTGGAAATATAAGTTTTGAACCAATAATTTAAGGAAAAAGGCTATATAAGGATGCAACCTTAGAGTAGAACTACGGATGCACCTAAAAAATACATCGGAGAAGGTAGTTTTAATGTTGAAAAACCCTTTGATTGATCATCTCGACATCGAGATGTATGACCATGAAAAATAAAAAGATTTTAATTCTCATAAATAGTGTATTTTACAACATATTATCTACACCGTCCATTTTCAAGATTGTCATATGTTTATAGATCTACTTGATTTTAACCGTTTTTTAAATTTAAAATTTTATAATTAGATATAAAAATATATTTTGAGATAATCTTGAGAACATTTTACATCAAAATTATATAACATGATAAAATTTGAAGGTGCACCGTACCTCTACAGTTACGAATGCATCAGTATGCCAACTGCACCCATATTTTAAAACTTGGATCAGCCAGGCGAAATTGGCTTCCAGGAAACTGGTTTGGACTAGCGATTTCTCCATTAAAAATTGGGCAGTCTCTATTCAATCTTGAGGCATATATTTTTTCAAGTAGTACACAAAGTATATTTCATAAATTTTTTGCCGAGATTATTCTATGGGTTCTAAAGGTTGCATCGCCAAATTTTGAGATCCAAAAAGTATCCATAACATGTGGTTTACCCGAGGGAGGAAATATATAGCATCCTCCCTACGGAGGAGGAAATATTAGTCCGAGTTTGGATGTATCCAAAATTGTAATATTTTTGGATTGCAATATAAAAATCTTGTGAAACGGATTTAAAATGTTTGGACAACCTCAAGATTTTGTTAGGTTTTTAGATTGAAATAAAAAATATTGTGGTATTAAAGCAAAAGTTAACGTAACAAAAAATTCAAGTCAAACTTGAATTTTGTTTTATGAAAGTGCAGCTCTCTCACCCCGTGCCAACCTCAGCCTGTGACCCAACAATTATGCGAAACCACCGAAAGCCCAAATCTATCCTCTCTCTAAATAAGAAGAGCATTTTCATTTTTTCTCTCTAAAAAAACAAAGAAGCTTAAGCCCATCCATGTTTAAAAAAGGCGAGCATTTTCTCTCATTCTACATCCATGTGAACCTCTTCTCTTCATGAATAAGGAGAAGCTTGGGTTGCGAAAACACCAGAGAAGCTCAAGCCCCATCCATGACAACCCTAGGCGGTTTCTTTGTAAGGCCAAGGCCCTTTATCTCTCTACAAAATGCAAGTATTTTTTCTCAGACCACACCCATGGGAAACCCCTTCTCTTCATGAATAAGGAAAAGCTTGGGTTACATGTTTGGTTATTGTATGGAAGCAAATTTTGTACTGTTGCAAGGGATACATGAAAACCTTTTGCATTGGCAAGAAAATTTTGGAAGGGTAGAATGCGAATGTGCTTTTAGTATGTTTACTCCATCCAAACAGTCCAACATAATAATAAAAAAAATGGCAATATTTCTTAATTAAAGATGGAAAAACTTACAATTTTTTTTAGTAGTACATATTCGGATTTTTTTATTTTTTTTACATAGATTATTCTATGGGTTCTAAAAGATCCATCTCCAAATTTTGAGATCCAAAAAGTATCCATAACATGTGTTTTACTTGAGGGAGGAGATGTACAGTATCTTCCCTAGGGAGGAGGAAATATTTTAGCCTTGTGAAAATTTAAAATATGCCAAAAAGAACAAACATGAAGATGAAATAGAGATTTTTTTTGGGAAAATATCTTTGTAGACCCAATTTTAAAATTTCATTGCTTCATAGATGCAAACTTTCCAAATTTATATTACAACATAGAGATTTCATTTTTTAGATCTTCTAACCCCCTAAACTACGTTTACCTATTTTTACCTTAATTTTTTAACCCAAACAAATTTGAAAAATATATATCTAAAAAAAATTAGCTTTCTCTCTTCTTTTTCTATCTTCACGTGCTTCTCTCACGGGGAGAGAAAGAGAGTTGGGGGAATAGGGAGAGAGACACGGGGCAGCGAGAGAAAGAGAGTTGGGGGAAGAGAGAGAGAAAGAGGGGTTTGGGAGATTGGAAAACGAAAGAGAAAAACGTGGAGAGAGGGATTTAAAAAGGATATCTTTGTAAAATTTATTTAGGTCAAAAAATAAGACAAAGTTGGTCTAAGGGATTTTAAAATATAATAAATAGAATCTTTATGCAGTTACATAGGTTTTGAAACTTTGGGTTTACGGAAAAATAAAATTTAAAAATAGAATCTATGAAGATATTTTCTCAAATTTTTAAAGGTAATTAATGTAAAAAGCCCTTTTTATTTTAGAAATTGAAAAATAAACATAATTTTTTTCATATTTTACACCGCAGTCCCGTAGTTGAAGTATCATACTACACCTGATATTTTTTCTTTCGAGAAAACACTTTGACCGGTACTTGGGAGTACTTTCCTAACGTTGTTATGGAGCGAAGATCATTGTAGTTCTTGGAGTATTTGGCAGACTCTATCATGGAGAAGTCGGTCCATACTGCAAGGGATCGTTTGGATCCCTAGAAACATATTATCTGGAAAAATCTAACTCTGTCAAATATATTTTTTGGGAAAATTATTGCCTATAGTATTGATTTATGTTGTTTGGATGGCATATGGATGGAACATGAAATATATATTTTTACTGTTTGGATTATTTGACACAAAAATAATCACGCAATTGGCCATAAAAGAGCAATGGATAACCTATATCACAAACATTTCATAATCCATAATACACAAACATAAGCATGTCAAAAAAAAAAAAAAAATCCATAATCCATACAATAAGGTTCTATACCCCAATACCTCAAATTAAAATAATGGGGAAAGATGAGAAATCTGGGATTCCATAGAGATCCATGAAACAGGCAGAAATAACGTAAGAATAAAAAATAATTACACAAAAATTCCATTGGCTTAAATTCAGCAATAATACCTTACAATATAACGCAAGAAATTGTGTAATTGGCCAAAACCGTGATTCCCATGAAATCCAGATAAAACAACCACAAAGAAAAAAATGAGGTTGAGGAGCAACATTTGTTAGGAGTTTCATGAGCACATCATTTAGTCCGTAGAAGACAGATATAATGAGAAGTGAGTGGAGGATTACTCTTGTTGCTCAGGAAGACCTACGATCATCACGACTAGATTGATATGGCGTAGGATGTCGATTAGTGGCCAGTTTGCGAAATTCAAAGGACAACTCGAGATCATGGGTAGAGAGTCGAGGGGGAGTGTTGAGAGTAGTGATTTAAAAAAATGGATCGGTGACCTGTATCGGTCATTGCAAAAACCAGTAGTGAATTGGTCAAGAACCTATCTGGTTCGGTGAATCAACGTTTTTATTGCAGTAAAACAATCTTTTTAGTATAACGAAACGATGTTTTACTATAGCAAATCGCCGGTTCTCTTCTAGACCCGAACGATTTCCTATATATTGACAGAATCAATACGGGGTGACCGATTGTTAAGTTGGACCAGGCGATTCAATGCTGATCCGATGTTTTTTAAATCACTAGTTGAGAGTCGATGCATACTCTCGTACACGACGGAGGGGCCAGGACCAGCAAAAGTCGCGCAAAAGACTACGTAATTTAGGTCAAATGACCAACTTGAACCTAATAGATTTATTTGGGCATTTTATTATGAATTAGACCTTAGAAAGATGAGGCCAAGTATTTATTTTTATATTTTGACAAGAAAAGATTTGACTAAGTGTTTCTCTCAAAAAAAGAAAAGAAACAAGAATTGACTAAGTATTATATATGGGGATATTATATTTGCTATTTTTCATGTAGGATCAAAGGTTTGGGTATACAGAAAATATAAGATTGGCATGTAAGTTTTATGTTGCTTTCATAAGTCAAAGAATTGATATAAAATGTTACAATGTAATTTACAATCCTTATGATGGAGGGAGGTCCATGTGATTGGGTGCGTATCATTCTCAATGAAACATAACGTCTCTTTTGGTGCATCAAAATGAAAGTTTATTCCATTTTGGGTTAATATGTTGTTCGAAGCGAGTTAAAGCTCTCTCTATCTAGAAACTTTCTCTCACTAAACCAAGATTGCGTGTTAGTTA